TCCATGAACTGAAGTGAGGGACATCTAGACATGTCAAATCAAGGATGAGTTCAGTTTTCTTGCTGGGGAGCCTGAAAAGTCTCAGAGACCTTTGAGTTCCTTTTTTAGGAGGCTGAGCAGTCACTGCAGAGCTGAGCCAGCTATGGGAGTGTGTGCGGGATTCTAGTCTGACTTGTTCACCTGTCTATGGGTATGTCTACACTACAAAGTTAATTCAAGCTAACAGCCATTAGTTCAAATTAACTTTCATAGCGTCTATACATGCAAACCGCTAGTTCGAACTTAATTCGAACTTGTGGAGCACTTAATTCGAACTAGGTAAACCTCATTCTACGAGGACTAACGCCTGGTTCGAATTAAGTAGTTCAAATTAAGGGCTGTGTAGCCACTTAATTCGAACTAGTGGGAGGCTAGCCCTTCCCAGCTTGCCCTGGTGGCCACTCTGGGCACAACCAGGGAAACTCTTCTACCCCCCTCCCGGCCCCGGAGCCCTTAAAGGGGCACAGTCTGGCTATGACTAAAATCTAATGCTATTAGGTTTCTAGTGTATGGAGACTTTGTTATGATATAGTAATACTATAGAAAGCATAATACTATAGAAAGCTTAGGGTGACCATATTTTCCTATGCTGAATACAGGATAGTGGGTAATATTACTTATATTCAAGAGAGTTCAGTGGCAATCATAACTATACTGTACAAACTTTTAAATAAACATCTAGTTGACAGAATCTCAGTTAAAAAGAGTTACCACACAGATGGAGTTTTTTTATTTAGCTTCTTTAAGGTATATGAGGAGAGAGGACACTCACGCACATATACACTCTCCCATATACCCTCTCACAAGGGGATGAGGGTGATTGACCGCCTTGACCCATCCCTCTCTCCCAGTGCTATCCGCCTTCTATGTCTGGAGCATCCACCTATCTTGGTACCTGGTGCCACGTCTTCTCAATGCAACATGTGGTGGGTATTCAGGATCACAGACCTCCCTCCCAAAATTTGTCAAAGTTCACACCATGGGCAGAAGCAGCCTTTCAGCACTGAAGGAAGGAAGGGATGGGAGCTGCTTGCAGCTACAGGGTAGTGGAGGTTTGGGTAGGGACTGACCTGGCCTTTGTATTGGAGAGGTCCTCTCTTCCCCCCTGCCCCTGCCTCCTACCCCGTGATGGAAAGCATCTTGTCCCTTCCTGCCTGCACAGTGTCAAAGGCAGCTAAACCTCCAAGTTGCTGCTGGCCATCGGCATATCCCAGCCACCTTCTGTCTCCTGCATGCAGTGTGGACAGGAAGGGGTCAGTCCCTAAGGACGCATTGTGCTCCAGGGCTCAGAGAATCTGTCTACAGGGATTTCAGCTAACCGGGCCAGAGAGATTGCCCAGTAGGGGAGGGTGCTTGGAGAGAGAGCAGTACTACATGCTTTGGGGGTAGAATCTAGGATGGGGCAGTTTATGAAGAGGGTGCTATGCCCTTATCTGGGTAGTTGCTGTGGATCCTGCAGGGTTGAGATGCAAAAAGGCTGGAAATAGCTTTCTCATTACCATTTCAGAGTTTCGCTGAGGGTGGAGAAGCTTCCCCATGCCAGCACTGTGTGGGGCTTTGGCACATGCAGGGCTTGGCTTCTCCTGGCCAGCACTCTGGGCCAAAGGGATTGAGCTTTCCCTGGGTGCCAGGCCAGCCCAGCCAGAGGCAGTGGGGAGAGGAAGGAGCCTGCCAGCCAACCTCTTGGTGAGCTGAATGATTCCACCAGTGGCTGGTTCTCCACACAGCACCAGGAGCAGGATGCATCCCGCTAGGGGGGATATGGAGAAATAGCAGGGCTGGAGAGGGTGAACACACACAGCAGGGAGAGGACAGTGAACGGTGAAGCATGTAAAGAGAGATGGGGTGGGCAGCAGAGGTGACATGTAACCAGCCACCACCTGCCCACACTCACCAGCCACTGCTGCAAGCAGCCAGTAATTGCTGGAAATGGAGGATGCAGGAGAGGAGGCTGCTGGCCAAGAGCTAGAACCCAGCAGGGACTGTACTCATGGACCAACCTGGGGAGCTGCCAGCCCGGCACGCTGCAGCTTTGCCTCGCCACCAGCCTTGTACATCCACCCCGACAGCAGCCAGTAAACCCCCACAACTCACGACTGGAGGATGTGCGGCTGACAAGCAAGGATCCGTCCAGCAGTAGGACCCACCAGTCCTGAAGGAAGGGGAGAAAATACAGGACAATTTGTACATTTTTAAGAAAAAGTAGGGTCACCTGCAGAAAGACTGAAATACAGGCCTGTCCCTTTAAAAATGAGACATCTGGTCATTCTGCATCAGATCCTCATCCACAAGGTGTATTTCTAGTCCCACTTCAGTGACAAGGTGACACGAGCATGACTAGTCTATGCAAGCTCTGCTGCTCAGCTGAGTTCTAGCTGTGCCAAAGGATTTTGCCCCGTTATTGATCAGTTAGTAGAATTATTTTTGTAGCACCTGAGAGCCCCTTTTGCGCTGCAAACAGAACAAAAAAGACACCCCTGTCCCCTCCCCTGAGTTATTGCCTATGTCAGTGTCTCCCAGTTTTATTTGGCCACAGAACCCTTTTAAATGCGAAAGAATTTTGCGGAACCCCTAATAACATTCTAGTATACGGAGCTGAAAAATTAGACCACAAATAAGTAAGGATAATAATAAACAAATGCTAAACAAGGTGATGAGATCATCATTTAGTATAATTGCACATATTTAAAAACAAAAATCATAATATTAATTATGATTTTTTTAAATCATAAAATATTATTGTAATGGAATTTTCTCGCTGAACTCTTATTTTCACTTCGCGGAACCCCGGTGTTCCGCGGAACACCATTTGGGAAACACTGGCCTACATTATTTTAGGTCCCCGCCTATGGCCAATGATTTCCTCCAAAGCTGGTGTGTTCTGGGCCCTGTGAATGCCCAGCAGCAAGATATGGGTGACCGCCACAGTGCACAGGGTCATGGAGAAATCCCTGGGCCAGCCTAGGTGGATGATCCCTGCGCATGATCACCGATGGCAAATTAATGAGGCAGAGGAAATGGAGAGTCCTGCTTAGCTTTCTGACCTACTGGTAACATGCACGGAAGGAAGACCAGTGCTCCCAGTTATTAGAGGAGCAGGTTTGGGCTGCCTCTCCCTCCCCTGCAGTGTCCCCCACTTTTCATTATCCACTTACTGACTCAGAGCAGAGCTGCAGAGAATGGGCTGGATTGGTTCCTGTTCATAGAATCATAGAATCATAGAACTGGAAGAGACCTCAGAAGGTCATCAAGTCCAGCCCCCTGCTCTAGGCAGGACCAATTCCAACTAGGCAGGACCAATTCCAACTTACAAATCAGCCCCCTGAAGTGGGGAAGACAAGGCCCGGAGGGGCAGATTTTGCCTGGTAAATGCAAATGCTAGGGTGTGTCCTTCACACTGGACTCTGGTCAGGCTGCACCCCACCCCACAGGCACTGCCCGCCCCCATTCCAACAGTCAGGAGGGGAATAGTCAAATCCAGCAGGGCAGGCATCTCTAATGACTGTACATACCTTGGAACGGTCTCAGCTCTTTGCTAACTAGCAATGAAAGGCACTGCTGGCTCCTAGGACAAGCTTGTGGGGTGGGCAAGGGGCATTTTTCTCTCCACATCACTGACCAGGCACAACACAAGAAAGAGGCCCCTCCTCCTGCCATGAGATGTTAAATGGAAGTCTGTGGGTTTATAGTGATAGAAATGTAGCCGTGTTAGTCTGGTGTAGCTGAAGCAAAATACAGGACTATGTAGCTCTTTAAAGACTAACAAGATGGTTTATTAGATGATGAGCTTTCGTGGGCCAGACCCACTTACTGTTGATACAGGATAAGCTGCCTTGCTCCCAACACAGTACCCACACATGCAGTGACACCTCGTTGCTGCCTTAACTAAGAGCCACAGACAATAAAACCTCAGCCTAAGCTTTCTCCCAGGCGTGGCTGTTCCTAGGATTTCTCAATGGCTTTTTTGGCTCCAACTTCCTTCTATATTAACTCAGTACCATTGTATGCTCCTGAGCTGGAACAAATTAGATATGCCTGGTCTGTGCGCCAAGGTGAATCGGCAGAATAGCCTGCATCTGTGTGCAAGGTCCTGACACCTAATTAGTTGTAGCAAACTCAAAACAGGCATCACCATAGTCTTAAACATCTAGAGTATGTCTAAGCTAGCCCCCTAGTTCGAACTAGGGAGGCTAATGAGGGTGACCGAAATTGCAAATGAAGCGCGGGATTTAAATATGAGGGATTTAAAACCTCACTCCAGGAGGAATAACAGCTAATTCGAGTTAGGGCTTTACTTCGAACTCCCATTTCACTGCCGTGTGTAGACGTGGGCAGTTATTCCGGGCTAGTCAATTTCCAAAAGTGGCGATCGCCCAGGAATATGCTAATGAAGCGTGGGATATTTAAATCCCACGCTTCATTTGCAATTTCAGTCACCCTCATTAGCCTCCCTAGTTCGAACTAGGGGGCTAGCTTAGACATACTCTAGATGTTTAAGACTATGGTGATGCCTGTTTTGAGTTTGCTACAACTAATTAGGTGTCAGGACCTTGCACACAGATGCAGGCTATTCTGCCGATTCACCTTGGCGCACAGACCAGGCATATCTAATTTGTTCCAGCTCAGGAGCATACAATGGTACTGAGTTAATATAGAAGGAAGTTGGAGCCAAAAAAGCCATTGAGAAATCCTAGGAACAGCCACGCCTGGGAGAAAGCTTAGGCTGAGGTTTTATTGTCTGTGGCTCTTAGTTAAGGCAGCAACGAGGTGTCACTGCATGTGTGGGTACTGTGTTGGGAGCAAGGCAGCTTATCCTGTATCAACAGTAAGTGGGTCTGGCCCACGAAAGCTCATCATCTAATAAACCATCTTGTTAGTCTTTAAAGAGCTACATAGTCCTGTATTTTGCTTCAGCTACACCAGACTAACACGGCTACATTTCTATCACTATAAACCCACAGACTTCCATTTAACATCTCATGGCAGGAGGAGGGGCCTCTTTCTTGTGTTGTGCCTGGTCAGTGATGTGGGGAGAAAAATGCCCCTTGCCCACCCCACAAGCTTGTCCTAGGAGCCAGCAGTGCCTTTCATTGCTAGTTAGCAAAGAGCTGAGACCGTTCCAAGGTATGTACAGTCATTAGAGATGCCTGCCCTGCTGGATTTGACTATTCCCCTCCTGACTGTTGGAATGGGGGCGGGCAGTGCCTGTGGGGTGGGGTGCAGCCTGACCAGAGTCCAGTGTGAAGGACACACCCTAGCATTTGCATTTACCAGGCAAAATCTGCCCCTCCGGGCCTTGTCTTCCCCACTTCAGGGGGCTGATTTGTAAGTTGGAATTGGTCCTGCCTAGTTGGAATTGGTCCTGCCTAGAGCAGGGGGCTGGACTTGATGACCTTCTGAGGTCTCTTCCAGCTCTATGATTCTATGATTCTATGAACAGGAACCAATCCAGCCCATTCTCTGCAGCTCTGCTCTGAGTCAGTAAGTGGATAATGAAAAGTGGGGGACACTGCAGGGGAGGGAGAGGCAGCCCAAACCTGCTCCTCTAATAACTGGGAGCACTGGTCTTCCTTCCGTGCATGTTACCAGTAGGTCAGAAAGCTAAGCAGGACTCTCCATTTCCTCTGCCTCATTAATTTGCCATCGGTGATCATGCGCAGGGATCATCCACCTAGGCTGGCCCAGGGATTTCTCCATGACCCTGTGCACTGTGGCGGTCACCCATATCTTGCTGCTGGGCATTCACAGGGCCCAGAACACACCAGCTTTGGAGGAAATCATTGGCCATAGGCGGGGACCTAAAATAATGTAGGCCAGTGTTTCCCAAATGGTGTTCCGCGGAACACCGGGGTTCTGCGAAGTGAAAATAAGAGTTCAGCGAGAAAATTCCATTACAATAATATTTTATGATTTAAAAAAATCATAATTAATATTATGATTTTTGTTTTTAAATATGTGCAATTATACTAAATGATGATCTCATCACCTTGTTTAGCATTTGTTTATTATTATCCTTACTTATTTGTGGTCTAATTTTTCAGCTCCGTATACTAGACTGTTATTAGGGGTTCCGCAAAATTCTTTCACATTTAAAAGGGTTCCGTGGCCAAATAAAACTGGGAAACACTGACATAGGCAATAACTCAGGGGAGGGGACAGGAGTGTCTTTTTTGTTCTGTTTGCAGCGTGAAAGGGGCTCTCAGGTGCTACAAAAATAATTCTACTAACTGATCAATAACGGGGCAAAATCCTTTGGCACAGCTAGAACTCAGCTGAGCAGCAGAGCTTGCATAGACTAGTCATGCTCGTGTCACCTTGTCACTGAAGTGGGACTAGAAATACACCTTGTGGATGAGGATCTGATGCAGAATGACCAGATGTCTCATTTTTAAAGGGACAGGCCTGTATTTCAGTCTTTCTGCAGGTGACCCTACTTTTTCTTAAAAATGTACAAATTGTCCTGTATTTTCTCCCCTTCCTTCAGGACTGGTGGGTCCTACTGCTGGATGGATCCTTGCTTGCCAGCCGCACATCCTCCAGTCGTGAGTTGTGGGGGTTTACTGGCTGCTGTCGGGGTGGATGTACAAGGCTGGTGGCGAGGCAAAGCTGCAGCGTGCCGGGCTGGCAGCTCCCCAGGTTGGTCCATGAGTACAGTCCCTGCTGGGTGCCTGCTCTTGGCTAACAGGCTCGCCCACTCCCCGCCCTATTTCCAGCCGGCACTGGCTGCTTGCTGCCATGAATAGTAAAGTTCAGGAGGTGGGTGGTTATGTGTCACCTCTGCTGCCCACCCATCGGCCCTTTACATGCTCCCCTGGTCACTGTCCTTTCCCTGCTGTGTCCCTTCACGTCCTCAGCCCGGCTGCCCCTCCACAGCTGTTTTCCTCTGGAGCAGGGGCTTACTACCCTCTTCACACACTATCCCTGTCCTAGATCCTGCCCCCAGGCAGTACGGGGCCGCTTTGCCCCTCAGGCACCTTCTCCTGCAGAGCCTCCTTTCTGACCGGCTTTGCGGAAGCCACTGCAGTCAGGTTCCCTGGCCCTTGGTGCACAGAACATCCTTAGGAATTAACCCCTTCCCAGGGGAGCAGACAGCCTCCACGGACCCCTGGGCAAGGTGTAGGGTGGGGCTGCCTCCGCAATTCTAAAAGGGGCGGGGCCTTGGGAGGAAGGGGCGGGGCTAGGGGCAGCCAACCCTCAGTGCCACCCAGAGCACAATGCTGCCCCTCCTGCAGCTCTGGGCCCACACAGTAGCCAGGGGACAAAAGGTGGCTGGTAGACAAGCTGCTTCTAGCCACAGGAGAGCCGTAGGCAAGGGGAGAGGAGGGAAGAAATCGTCTGTACAGCTACGTGGGCCAAGTCATCTCTGCCTGCCCAACCTCACCCCTGTGGCTGGAAGCTCTTAGCCCTTCCTTCCTGTACAGTGCCAAAAGGCTGCTGATGGCCCTGTTCTGGTGTGAACCCTCACAGGAATCTGGGGAGGGGGCTGTGACCCTGCTTCCCCCTCGCCATGTTGTCCTGAGAAGTGGTGCCAGGTACTAGGAGCAGCCAGCTCCCTCCTGGGGGCCCAGCCAGACATGCAGCGGCGGATATAGAGCAGGGCGACTGCCCCGGGCCCCGCGCTTCAAGAGGCCCTGCGCATGTGCCGTGTCAAAGACGGGGGCCCCGCAAAATTGTGCTGCCCTGGGCCCGCAAAACCCTCATCCGCCCCTGCAGACATGCATACAAACAATTTTACCAGGTGCCCCATAATCACTATAGGGAAATATGGTCACCCTAATCATGTCTATTCTGGGGTTTCACTTTGGCTCATCTTGGCAATGAGTCATCCAAGCCTGACCCAACCAGCCCCAAAATTCAGGGATGTTAAGATCTAGGTTTTGGTTTCATCCCAGTCTCGAGTCCAAAGCCATCTGCGAGCCCAGGGCAAACACACAGGCTATGGCTATACTGCAGCCTTCTTCTGCAAAAGCTTACGCAAATGAAGCGTGGAGTAGAATATCGCCGTGCTTCATTTGCATAATTAATTAGCAGCTGTTTTTGTGCAAGAGGCTTTTGTGCAAAAAGGAGCTGTCTAGACAGCTCCTTTTTGCGCAAAAGCCTCTTGTGCAAAAACAGCCCCTAATTCATTATGCAAATGAAGCGCAGCGATATTCTACTCTGTGCATCATTTGCATAAGCTTTTGCGGACAAATGCAGTATAGATATAGCCCAAGTGACCAGATGTCCCAATTTGTGGGAAAAGCCCTGATATCTGGGTCTTATAAAGGCGCCTATTTACTGCCAACTTTAGTCTCTGTGGCTGTGTCTACACTGCACCCCTTTTCCGGAAAAGGGATGCAGATTAGACCAGTCGGCATTACAAATCCGCAGGGGATTTAAATATCCCCGCGGCATTTGCATTAACAGGGCTGCCGCTTTTTTCCGACTTGGGGATAAGCCGGAGAAAAGCGCCAGTCTAGACGTGATTCTCCGGAAAATAAGCCCTTTTGAAAGTAGGAATAAGAGATCCTCCAGAAAAGGGCTTATTTTCCGGAGAATCACGTCTAGACTGGCGCTTTTCTCCGGCTTATCCCCAAGCCGGAAAAAAGCGGCAGCCCTGTTAATGCAAATGCCGCGGGGATATTTAAATCCCCTGCGGATTTGTAATGCCGACTGGTCTAATCTGCATCCCTTTTCCGGAAAAGGGATGCAGATTAGACCAGTCGGCATTACAAATCCGCAGGGGATTTAAATATCCCCCGTGGATTTGCAATTCCGACTGGTCTAATCTGCATCCCTTTTCCGGAAAAGGGGTGCAGTGTAGACACAGCCTGTCTGTCTTTATGTCTGTGTGTCAGTCCCTCCCCTTGACAACTGGGATCTGGCAGGCTATGTCCACACTGCGAGTTTTTGGGGCAGAAAATATGCTAATGAGGGACTCGTTAGCATAAATCGCGATCTCATTTGCATACTTTCTGCCGCAAAAACTCGCCATGTAGACAAAGCCACAGTGAATGCCACAAGCTTTTATGGCTCCTGGTTTGAACTGGGGACTTGTTCCTCTCTGAATTGGATTCTGACTAACACACACACCCCTCCAGAGGAGGTGAATTGCATTTAACAAACTCTCTGGATGGCATCCGCACTTCATGAATAACTGCGTGCAGCTGTGTTCAAGCTCCTGCATTCTTGTTTAATCTCAGACTTCGTTCTGCAGAGCTGGCTTTGTTGCAAAGCCCCTGATATTGTCTCCTGGTGCATACTGCTTACGCTCCTGAGCTGCCCTGAAGGAACGCACTCTTGGGGAAGCATAAAGACACATGAGGCTAATGCTATTTAAAGGCACCGTTTCCAACACACTGGGTTCCAATGCAGCACAGTGCTCCACTTCCAGTAGAGAACTGATGCAGAAGATATGTACTCACAATGCTACATATAACCAGTGAGCATGAGTGGATGTTTACACACACACAGGCTCCGCCATTCTGTCCAATTCTTTCCAGTCTTCTCTCTGTAATGGCAGCTTTCGTACCCCCGTGATCTCCCGAGACATGACCACTCAGGAATGGTTTTGGGGAGCTCTTTTAGGCCTGCTTTTTGGAAAGATGCACGTGCAAATAGGCATCCCCTTGGGCACGTACTTTGTATGCACAGATTATGGTGACTGCACGTGAAATTGTGAAAAGTGCACATGCAAGTGGCAGACGGTGTGCAATTGTAATAACTGCACGTGCATCTCCATCATGCAAAAGCATGCCTATCCTTCTGCACATCGGGTGTTGGAGGGATGGACTTTTCACATGCCCCAAAAGGGTCCGTGTAGCTCAGTGTTTCCCAGTTGGTGCTCTGGGGAACCCTGGGGTTCTGCAAAGCAAAACGAGGGGTTCCGCGAGGAGCCGGCACTCCCCCGCCCCCTCTGAAAGAGAGAGAGAGCCGGCTAGCCAGCAGAGGCAGGGGCGGCGAGTTCTATGGGCTCATGGTGCCCATGCTCCACCAATATTTGGAGCTGGAGCGGGCCCCAGCCCCGCCCCAAGCATCCTCCCACCCTGGCCCCAGAGCATCTCTCCCCCAGCCCAAGCCCCGTCCCCGTCCTGTCCCTGCCATGCGCAACCTTCACTGAGTTCCCCCTTGCCAGCTGCTGCTGCCCTGCGCGGCGTGCTCAAACCGGTGGGCAGGGAGACGCCCGGGCGTGACGTAATGTCGCGGCCCGGGATTTAAAAACTGCTGAGCGCTGCGTTGTGCCATGCAGCTGAGTTGCGGGTTCTGAGTCCAGGGACGGAGCGCAGACTCCAGCCCAGCAAAGTGGAAAGCAGAAGGTAGGGGAAGGGGAAGGGCTGGGAGAGGAAGGAGTTTGTGCGGGGGCGGA